TTTTGATCGGCAAACAAAAACTTTATTGATGGAAAGGGAAAATTACATCAATAAAGAGGAGCTTGGAGCTAAAACAAGCTCCAACCTCCTAATTGGTGAGAAGCCAACGCGCAAAACAAAGCGAAAATCCAGAGAAATGCAGATCAGTCAGCCAAGAAGTGGAAAAAAACAGCCAAGACTAAGGGACGACACACACAGCTACTAGAAGCCAAATGTACAACATAGCAAACAGAGCAGCTATGAGATACCTGCTGCAGTGCACAATTCTAAAGAATACAACTGAAGCAAGCCGAAGTATACTTCCCAAGCACACCAGCAGAAATAGTATACTTCACTGAACCGAGCATCATACAAAACAGAAACAGAGCAAAATTTAGCAGGACCCCGCAGAACTGTTGCTTTGAGGCCGTACTGCTGCAACCGAAGAGAAAAGCTCCAGATCTTCAACCTACTCCTCTTCGACAAAACTTGATTTGTTGAAAGTTATACAAAAAATCATTGACCGAAAATGGCAGCTTCACATCAGCCGCTCGAATCCACATAGCAGTCCTGGTTTTGATTAAATCACACAGACTAAACAGGTCAGGTTGCACCTCAGAAAACAACACCTCGTTCCTGTGTTTCCAAATAGACCACAAGGTAGCAATCGGTATCACATTCCATACGTTTCTCTCAAAACTATTGCCTAAAAACCCTGCCCAAAATTGTAAAACTCCATCCACTGTTGCTGGCATGACCCACTGAGATCCCCACCATAAAAATATATCATCCCACACCCACCAAACAAAGGGACACCACAACAAAACATGATTAACCGACTCCGCTTCAGCTTTGCAAAACACACATTGAGTATTAACAGCAGCCGGAATGACACCAATCTGTTGTAAGTAAGAGGACGTTTTTAACCTTTGCCGCCAAGCTAACCACACGAAAGCTTTTGCTCTAGGGATGGATACGTTCTGCCAAATCATCTTAGAGATTGTACCAAAATCTATAGATTGTAGGCTGTGTTCACACCACCTATAGACAGATGAAACACTGAAACACCCCGATTTTTCAGCCCCCCTAACATAACACATCAACCTTATCAACTCTTAACTCCGGAGTGTTATTTACCAAATTGACCAAACGAACCACCTCTTCCTTCTCCCAATCTCGGAGCATTCTATTGAAGCTTACCTCCCAGTCATGTAAGCTCCTTCTTAGTTCGACCACCTGTTTAATTGTTTTCAGCTTATCAGGAGATATACGATACAATCGAGGAAACTCATCCTTTAAACATCTAACAGTAGCCCACCTATCCTCCCAAAACAAAGTTCTATCTCCATTGCCCACCAATATGCAAGTATTCCTAACAAAAAAATTGTGCAAAGCAGGGGTGGAAGTTGCCACTGAGATAATATCCCTCCATAACCGGGAGTGCATCTGGGTGGTTTCCGTAGTTGGATACCACTTGCTGCCCTGGATGTTATATTTCCCACATAAAACTCTCTTCCACAACAACTTTTCATCACCGCCAAACCTCCACCACCACTTAAGGAGCAAGCATGTGTTCACATCCCTAAGACTCTTGATGCCTAACCCTCATTTAATAACACTTTTAGTAACTTCAGACCATTTAACCACGTGAATCTTGCTCTTAATGACGGATCCACCCCATAGAAAAGCAGCTTGAATTTTGTCTAGCTCTTTAGCGACTCCTTCAGGCATCTTAAATAAGGAGAGGTAATATACCGGGAGGCTAGATAAAACTGCTTTGATAAGAGTTAGTCGCCCTGCAAGAGATAAAAACCTTCTTTTCCAACTGGCCAGCTTGACTTTGACTCGATCCACAACAGGCTTCCAAGTCCTTAACCTTCCTGGATTGGCTCCAAGAGGCATCCCAAGATACTTAAATGGAAGCTTTTGACACTTACAATTTAGCCTATCGGCGATTTCCTCCAACCAGGCATCTTGAACTCCAATGCCCGAAATCACACTCTTATGATAATTGATCCGGAGTCCAGACATCACTTCAAAGCATCTAAGTATCCTCTTAATATTCACCACTGCCTCCCATTCTGCCTCACAAAATATAATAGAATCATCCGCAAACTGAAGATGGGACACTGACACCTCGTTCGCCCCAAGAACCGCACCCTTGAATAGATTTAACTCCCTAGCCCTGGTCAACAAGATGTTAAGGCCCTCAACTACCATATTAAAAAGGAAAGGAGAGAGAGGATCCCCTTGTCTAAGGCCTCGAGATGGGCTAAACTCCGATGTGGGGGAACCATTCACAAGAATTGAGACTCGAGTATTTGATATACACTCCTGCACCCAAGTCAGCCATTTCTCTCCAAAGCCAAAATTCTTCATCATAGATAGCAGAAAGGACCAATTAACTGAGTCATAAGCCTTTTGGAAATCAAGTTTCAGTATAATACCACGCTTTTTAGTCTTCTTCCACCAGTCAACAATTTCATTGGCAATTAAGATCCCATCTAGGATACTTCTACCACCCACAAACGCTGACTGTTCTTCACTAATAATTCTAGGCATCACCATCTTTAACCGGTTAGCCAAAACCTTAGAGAGAATCTTGTAGACAGACCCGATTAAACTAATCGGACGGTAATCCCCAAGGCTAATAGGATTGTCCTTTTTAGGCACTAAAGTAATGAAAGAACTGTTAATCCCACCCACCAATTTCCCATACCGATGAAAGTCCTGCATAAACTGGATTACCTCTTTCTTCACAACCTTCCAACATTTCTGAAAAAACAACATATTAAATCCATCTGGCCCCGGAGCTTTATTACCATCACAACTTCTCACCGCTGCCCAAATTTCTGCCTCAGAAAATTCGGCCTCAATGTGTTCCACTGCTGCTATGCTACCAATAGATTTAAAACTTCCCACCAATTTTGGCCTTCAACTCCACACTTCCATGAAATGCGCTTTGAAAAATTGAAATACTTCATGCTTAACTCGGACTGGCTCATCATAGACAATTCCATCAAATTTCAAAGAGCCAATTGCATTTCTATTCTGTCTGCACATTTGGCATGGACTTGTTACACTTTTACCCTTTGAGAGGCTCGTTGGGCCGAAAACCCGGAAAGGCGACCCAGGCAAAAGGTAGAGCCAAAAAAAAAAAAAAGCTGAAATTCATTTACAATTCGGGCAATTTGAGTAACTCGGGCAATTCAGGTTTAACTCGGGTCTGGCTTGGGCAAGCAAGCTCGGATTACAATTTGGGCCTGAGCAGGTCTCATTACAACTTGGGCTGGGCTGGGCTTAGACAATCTTCAACCTGACCGAATTTGCCTGTGTTGCACCTTTATATAAAAAAATTAAAAAATGAGTAATTTAACCATAAAATTAACATGTCGTTCTCACATGTTACTTTTCTATCATCTTTCATAATATAATGTTATCATAAGTGAGGTTGAAACAAATATGAAGAAAAGGAAGACAAAATGTAGCAATTTTTGGTTGAGAGATTAAAGTGACAATGACCCATAATTGAGGGAGAGTAATGTATAATTTAGGGGAAGTAACAAATCACTATTAGTTTTGAAAAATAATTGTAGATTTATGATAAACTTAATGATTAAAGTCGCAAATTTTTTAATGAATCTGTAATTATTTTAAAATAGTACCACTGATTTATAAATTCTCCTATAATTCCTTCTAAGTTTTGTGCCCTTAATCTTTGATTTGTTGCAGTGAACTAATATTGGAAGTAAAAATATTTTAAATCTTAAAATTGTAACATTTAACAAAATAAAATATGTTTAGCAATACAAAAGTGTGGTTATTATTAGTAATCATGCTAGAACAACATGACTGCCAAACGTTTTCCATGAATTTTGGAAATAAATTAAAAATTTACGCGATGAATTAAGTGGGTGTTAGGGATTTGCTTTGATTGATTTTTTTACTTCAGTATTTTTTTAAAATGTATCTAAAAAAATTACATTTTTAGATTTGCTTGACTAGACGGAATGGAAAATTTAAAAAAAAAAAAATTATAAAAGGAGTTGAGAGAGGATAAAAAATAAATGATTTTTTTTGTCTCTGTCTTTGTTGTCTTTAGTAAACATTTTTTTTTATATATTTTTTTATTTTTAAGGGACACTTATCAATAGTCATGTTAATTAGACTTATTTACTTATATGTCATGACTAATAAATTTATCACTATAAATTTATTCATAAATTTATCAATAGGACTTTTGTCAATTATATATTTTAGCAAAAGAGTCATTATAAGTTCTCATATCACTTTCTCTATGTTTCTGTAGATCATTTCACAAAAAGTCAAAAAGTTACTAAAATAGCATGTTTTCAAACAAAAAGTCTCAAAAGTAGGACTTATTAGTAATTAATCCATTTATATATATATATATATATATATATTTGTAGATTCGTCTATATAAGACAGACCCGAAAAGTAAAATATTTTGACATAAGTTTAAAAACAATCACTAAAAGATAAAAAATAGAAAATTATTTTTACCTATATGCCAAAACACTACTAAATATTTGGTCAAATTACACTGATAATCCATATATTTTGTTACATGTGTCATTTAAATCCTTATAATTTCAATTGACTTAATTTTGACTCTTAATTTTAGATTTTGTGTCAATTTAATCCAATTAATAACGCCGTTAGTGTTTTTGATAGAAATTTTTTACTGAATCGATTAAGGTTAGATCACAAAATTGATTAAATTTATAATTTTGCTTCTAAAAGCACGACACATGCCTTTTATGTTTGCAGTGTCATAAGAAAATGTTAACAATTGAAATCAATTGGATTAATTTGAGATATAAAAAAAAATTAGGGTTAAAATCAATTCAATTGAAATTATAGGGACAAGAATTAAATTACAGAAACTAATATTGTAATTTGCCCAAATTTTTTTTAATAAAAATACTTGTCATTTTTTCTTGTTTGAAGCTGCTCATAACTAACTCATTTTCAATTTACAACTAACTATTTTACTTTGTTTTTCAACTATCCTTATCCATGTTCCTTTGCGTCTGTCAGTGGATGAACAACTGTTGTCGTATATTTGCACATAATTAACCACTTTTGTTCATGTCTTATTTTCTTTTACCTTGCCACTTTATTAATGGTTTAGATAAGAAATTTGCTTGTATTATAGAAGAAGCTTCGTACTAGAATAAAAAACAAATCAAGCATAGTTTACAATATAGAATATCAAACAAAACACGTAAAATGAAGTAATGAACACGTCTATAACTGTAATAAAAGTTTTACAAGAAACTTTGATCTTGAGGTATCTTTACACAAATGTATTTTGATCATAATCACAATGCATGAGTCTCCGATTAAAGCATGATTTGAAGAGGATAAGATATATCTATACGGATTTTCTGTAATTCAAACTCACACCACCACAAATGCTAATGAAAATGGTTGAAATTTTTTTTTATTGACACCCCAAGAATATGATCTTTACTCTCTCTTCTCACTCTTTGTATATTATATACATACATGTACATCTATATGTATTATAATTATCTGCAAACTCACACATAGAATTGTAACAAAGTGATCCCAAGGTTGAAGGTGAGAAACATGGTTTTAAATATCAGCCTTTAGACTTTCACACCGATATTCACTAGTATATTGACCGATACTGTTCGACATCAACCCTTTCGATACGTATTCTGATACTGTTTTTTAAAATGATATGGTGATAAATACTTATTGGAGCATATCTTTCCAAGGGCCACTGGCTTCATCACCCAAGAACTTCTCCAAAGCCTCAAAGATATTGGAGGCAGATGAATGAGAGGAAGAAGGGTATGACAGATTGATCTTGCTTTCCACTTGGTTGACATTACAAGAACTCTCAACTAAAGCAGGAAGTGTATTTTGATTTGTTTGGGTATGATACTCACTGACCATGCTGTTACAATTGGCATTAACAACTTCTGGTTGATACCCACCTTCAAATGATGTCATTGAACTAGGAACATCTGTGAAGTTGTTGAATATTTGAGGGTTTAAATTCAAACCCAAGTTGGGAAAATCAAATGTCTCTTGTGGGTTTGCACCAGCAAGTCCTCTCTCAAATTGAGCAGTATTGGGTGTCAAAAGACAATTTCCTGATATATTTGGAAATGGAGTTGGATTTATGACTTGCATTAGGGTTTGGAGAAGTTGGAGTTTGGCTAGTTGATGAGTGGCATCAACTTCTGACCTAAAGGCAATGTTGTCCCAAGGGTTCATGGAATTGATGCCAAAGTTTGGTGAGGCAGATAGCAACTGAGAGAGGTTACCAAGTAAATTGAGGTCTGGTATTGGCTTGTGGGTTTTGGGATCAATACCCCTTTGGAGGAGCTTCTTCCTCATATGGGTGTTCCAGTAATTCTTGATTTCGTTGTCAGTTCGTCCGGGGAGATGGGCTGCAATCCTTGACCACCTGCAAAGTACATGTTCTTAGTTTGGAAATTCGAAGTTTTTTTGGATGCAATGCAGTTTATGTTCTTAATTTAGAAATTTGGAGGTTTATTTATTATTTTATTTTTTGATACAAAATTTGGATGTGATATTATTATGACGTTGATCTAGTACATATGACAAGCAGTAATAACTAAATGAGTTAATTATTTTTAAAATGTAAGTAAATGAACAGAAGGTAAATGAGTTAATTACTTCCAAATTTAAGAGTAAATGAGCAGAAGGGTCCAAAGGACTGAATAAAAAATAAAAAATAAAAAAAATAACAGAAGAATAACATTGTAATTTGATTTAAGTGTAAAAATTGACTGTCACATTTTTTTGTTAGAATGACCGGGTGTCTAGATTAGTTTATATGCACCTCGATTAATCCCGAAACTGTTATATATATATATATATATATATTTTTTTTTATCAGCGAAAAAATCACTAATCCTAGGACTGTCACATTTGAAGGTACAATTTTAATAAAAGGGTAAGAGTTCCACTGTAATTATATAACTCCAAATAAATTTAGAGTAATAATATATGTAAATAAATTTTTTACTTAATTTTCTTATCATTATTAGACACAAAAATAACAAGCGGCACATTAATAAGTACACTTAGAACCCAGGTCTTTATGTCTAATGATAAAAGAAATAAAATTAAAAAACCATGCATGCATAACATTTTTTATTTCCTTTTTATGAATACATGATGGTTTACATACTTGTTTCCAAGAACCGAGTGGAGATCGATGATGATCCTCTCTTCTTCTTCAGAAAACTTCCCTCTCTTAATATCAGGCCTCAGATAGTTAATCCACCTGAGTCTGCAACTCTTTCCACACCTGTTCAAGCCAGCTCGCTTCGGCAGTGCTCTCCAACTTCCATGTCCATGCTTCTGAATAAAATCACTCAGTTTCTCATCTTCTTCCGGCGTCCAAGGCCCCTTCTTCACAACAACACTCTCATCGTGACTCGCAGACATATCCATCAGGGAGAGAGAGAAAATGGGAGAGAAAATGGTGCGAATATAGCATTGGAGATTGTTGGATATAGATATGGGTGGGTATATATAAAGTGCATGGAGGACGTAATTCGAAGGGTAAAAGTCAAATATAATTTGTGTTGTGTTGGCAATATTTTATCCACGGAGAAGTCTCCATCAACCATTTGGCTTTTTTTCCAACAAAAGGGAGAAAACTGGGAAATTGATTAAAGCATTGGAGGGGGTTAGGTAATGCTAATGTCATTCATGATTTGATGAAAGAAAATTAGAGCTGAGTTTTAACGTGTGAAAAACGTAGTATTCAGATTCTCTGTTTTGAAATATTTCTAATCATCTATCTTAAAATGTTTGTAGCCGTTGGATTATCTACTATGCCTTTTGTGTCGTGTAATTATTACTTGATTCAATGCCATGAGTGTTTTAGGAGAAGATAACCGAGGTGGGAGATTTCGGAATGAAAGATCATTGACAAAAACAAAAAAATTCAAACATAATCATTTCAATGACAACTATTTAATGTATTGAAAAAAAAAATTAAAAAAATTCAACGCATAAGTTAAAATGTGGATCAAATTGATTTGATGTGATACAAACCATATCAATTTTAAATTTGCATTAAAAACTCAACAACAAAAAAAAACCTAAAAATATTATGGTAAACAAATTTAAGTACTAAAAGTTCTATATCATGTTATGTGTCACTAATGTACATATATTTAATAAACTCCACATTTTGTATTTTTTTTTTTTATATCAATACATGTATGAGCACGAAATAATTCTTCTCGTATAATCATATTGATCAAGTTTGCATTTCTCCAAACGTCGTCGTTTAATCACCTAAAAACATAAACGTGAGCTAACCGACAGGTGTGTGCTGGAAACTGTTCTGATGTCTAAGTCAGCAAGTTGACAAAGACACTAAAACCTTGTGAATTCGGGAATATGAATTGCAATACCTGAGATTAGAGTTTGGTTTGAGTTTTTGTAGATTTCACATGGCACAATCCTAATAGGACTCTAACTCTCTTATGTAGACTCTTCCTAGGAATCACATTCCCAAAAGATAAAGCTTATCTTTTAACACCCTTCTTACTGTAAGCCAAGTGAGATGACACAAGTCTTTGCTGAGCTTTCCGTTGTGCAAGCGGACTACTTTTGCTCTATTCGCCAATGGCTTAGCCGTGCAATACGCAGTGTCGTGCAATGTTTGCACAGTGCACAACTAAGCTGACATTGCGCGACTCTTCTCTCTGCTTGATTGCCTTGCTTGGTAGCTCAGCCATGGCGTTAACCGCCACTAGGAAGTAGTTAGGTCCAGAAATATGGACATTTACTAGTTCGGTCAAACATTTTTGACCACCACTATGAAGTAGCTAGGTCCAGAAATATAGGCATTTACTAGTTCGGTCAAATATCTTTGACCGCCACTAGGAAGTAGTTAGCTCTAGAAATATGGACATTTACTAGTTCGGTCAAATATCTTTGACTGCCACTCCAACTTAGCTTGATCTAATTTGACTACACAAAATACCCTCTCATTATAAACACATAAGACTAAATCCACTCGTTAATATTCAAATTTAATCACCCCAGCATTAGTATTACCTTTTATATGTCAAGGCTCATCCTTATGATGTTCCTTTGATTATTATTATTTCTTTTTTCAAATATTTGAGAATTTTTGGAGGTGCTACCCACTGGGGGAGGCACTTCAGGGCTAGAGGGGCACTTTTTCTCCTCCTCAATTTTAAGAAAAAAAAATTATATTTTTATATTTAATTTTAAAAATTTGAAATGCTTATTTAATTTAAAAATAACTTTAATATATAACTTGAGAATCATATTGATTTTTAGTCATCCTACATCTCAATTGAATTTTAATACATTGTACTAAAATTTCAACTCTATTTTTCAAGTTAATTTTTTTTTTTTTTTTGGATCGTTTCAACTTAAAAACTTTGACTTCGCTATTGGTGTTACCATAGGCTCAGTTTGGTTGATGATCAAAAAGTGACTGAGTTTGGTTAAAATGAAAATAGTAGAAAGTGAAAAAAAGAAAAAGAAAAAGAAAAATTGAGTTTGATTAGCATGAAAATAGTTGAAGTTACAAGAAAAATAACTAAGTTTATAGTTTTTTGCAAAAAAACACCCAAAAAAATATAAGAAAGTTAAAATATATTATAAAAGTAGTTAGTTATAATTAGAATTCTACTTTCTTACAAAATTTTTATCCTAATCAAATTTAAACAAGAAAAATGATTTTATTTTTTCCTTTTCTTTTCTTTTACTTCACTATCTATCATTTTCATTTTCTAACATTTATTTCTTTCTAATCAAACAGAGGTGAATCATTTTCTATTAGTATAATTTAGTTTAAAATGTTAACCGATGATGCATGACATTTTTTTTTAATTTTGTGATCAACAAAAAGAAGATTTTATTGATAATGAAATATTACATAATAAGGCCTGGATTACATCATAGCTCAAGAATAAATCCTAACTAGGTTAGCACCTATGAAGGAGCCCAATCATGGCCATGATGCATGACACGAGGAACTTCTATTTTCCAAATCAATCTACATGCACAAAATCCAATCACATAATCAAATACAATATTCTCACATGGGAGGTAGGACTGACTTAGAATTATTTTTGCCAAATTGGATTAGGATAGTCTTATGTTTGGCTTCTAATTTTAGACGAGCATCACTGTATTCTTTGATGTATAGTTAATTTGAACAAGTTTTAATGACTCTCTAGAAGGTTCTAATATAGAGTATTTCTCTAGCTTGGATCATATCATATTGCTAAGCACTTCAATATTTACATCCAAATACTTCAATATTTTCATCCAAATCGATGATGTATATGATTTTGCTAGTCGCTATGTCCCAATTTAGCTGGGATATCGTCTTCTAGTTATGATGCAATTTTTTTCATCATTGCTTTTTTCATCTTCTAGTTGCTTGCTTGATTTTTTCATTAATAATTTTTTGGGCAAATTATATATACCCCTTGAGGTTTAGCAAAATTACAGATATCCCCCTGAGATTTGAGAAATTACAGATACCCCCTGAAGGTACTATTTTTATAACAAATTAGGGGCAAATTGTTATGAAAATATAAACCTTAGAGGGCAATTTGTTATGAAAATATAAACCTCAGGGAGATATCTGTAATTTTTGAAATCTCAGGAGTATCTGTAATTTAGCTAAACCTCGAGAGAGGTATATATAATTTGCCCTAATTTTTTTAAGGATATAACCAAAAAAAAAAAAAAAGAAGTTATGATTTGATGCATACTTTGACATTTTCATGACTTTGTAATGATCCAGTATATAGGATAGATTTTTCTACCTCAGTTTCAAAAAAAAAAAAAAAAAAATATATATATATAGGATAGATTTTCATGCATATTTTTTTTCCCGGTATATAGGATAGATGAGTGAGCAATACTCTCCACACTGATTGGTTAGATGGACACTGTTTAGAGCGGTGAATCCCATTATTTTCTTATATTTGGTTACCACCTTAAAATTAATGTGATAGTGATTATATTAGTGATAATGGGGATAGTTGTGGTGGTGGGTGGGGAGGCGAAATCATTTTTAAGAATAAAATATTTTAATTGTCAAAAGTTTTATATTTTTAGTAACAAAGTTAGACAGGTAATTTATTATTTTTAGGATCAAAATTTTTATATAAAAAAATAAATCTTTTTGGCACAAATTATTTTGCTTTCAAAAGTATATTTATTAATGATATTTTTAAAATTTTGTTGTTAAAGATATTTATTTTTACCTTTCGAACCATCTTTCAATGACGACTCTCGTGAGATAGGAATTGATTTCCTAATTTTTTTGCCACAATTTTTTTATCTTTTTAGATCGAAAAAAATTAGTGGATAAAGCCCTTATAAGTTATAGTAACAAGAGAATAAACAATAGATTCATCTCTCATCGGTTAAAATAGTGGAATACTCCATTTAGAACGGTGAATCATTACAAAAAATTAAAATTTTAGAGACTAAAATTTAAGGACAAAATTATTTTTTAGAGAAATAATTTTGTTACGAAAAGTGTCGTTATTATATTTTTAGCAATAAAAATTAGACATTAGTGACAAATTATTATCCTTTTGAGACCAATTTTTTTGTCTAAAAAAATAAATTATTTTGAGACGAAATTATTTTGTTCCTAAAAGTTTATTTATTAGTGACATTTGACTTTTCGGGACGACTTTTTAATGACTATCCTCATGACGATAGAAATTGATCCATAAATGTTTTTTTGTAACAAAATTTTCACTTTTAGAGACCAAAATATTTAGTCTCTAAAAGTCTTATATGTTATAGTGAATCCCATTTTTTTTAACCAATCAGAAAAGAGATACTGACTTTTTATTTAGTATAATCATATATAAAAGATTTCTTTATCATTAGACTTTGGCACAATTATATGTAGAAGATTACTATATCATTAGAGATTTTCAAAACAAATTTATAGAGAATGGTTGGTTAACAACATATAAATCTTATTTATTTATGAGTTTTTACATAGACCTTTCACTTTGCGGAGTTGTTACACAATAATTAGTTTTTCAGCTATAAGATTGCTTGCTTGCTTGCTTCTAACTCTTCACCTCCAATATATTATTCCTTTATCTATCATCAAAATGGTCATCATTGACGTCATTTTTTTTGTTTTCATTTTTCATTCAAATCCTAACATACATTTTCAGTAATGTTTTGTTATTAAGATTTTATGTGTCTCTCCTAAATAATGCAATAGTCTCTAACTGCTCTTTGAATGTTAGCAGTTGCATGGTTCATCTCCCTCAACCAACACAATCATTTTTAATATATTTTGAATGTATATATTATATGCCAACCTAAAGGTGCCTCATTTTTCTCTACTTTCTATTCTTACTTTTGATTTCCATTCAACATTCAACGTTCATTTAACAAGATGGTTACTTGCAATACAATAATGCAAGTTAGAAAAGTAATTAATTGAAAGAACAAAAATATTTCACATTGCTAGA